TATTAGTTGAAATCTTGGCATGGTGTGCAGGTAGGATGTTCTTCAGGAATGGAAATGGGGAGAAAAGCCTGAGGTATGCCAAATGAATCCAAATTTGAAATTGGTGGTGGTAGTGGTGTCCAATCTTGTGATAAAGGGTAGGATAAGTTTCTCAAAATGAAACATTTTTATAATTTTCACCCCTTGTGGTAACTAACATGTTGTTTTGCAGGGAATTATGATATTATAAATTCTCTTGAGAACTGTGTTGCTCTCACGTTTATTTTCCAGTTTATCGCACTGCACTCCACTGGTCAAAATTTAGTGCACACCTGACAGAAATTCAAAACACCTCACTTGCCTTAGATTATTATCTCAAAATGTCGAGTCATTAGCTCAAATTTTCGACTTCATTTTCAGAAATTTCAAGTTATTTTCTATGTTTTGTTTTGAGATATTTTCACAAAAGTTTGCATTAAGATAATAATAATAATAAGAATGGATAATCACCCACAATTTTGAAGTATGGATGACAACTAAACTAAACTAAAATACAATAAAATAAAATTTCAGTATTGACAAAAAAATTCCATAGCTCTGATTTTGTAAATTATTCATTTATATTATTGCTTTTTCTGAAAACAATATTAAAATTTCATTTTTAATTTTATTTATTTATTTCATTGCGATCTCGAGGTTCAAAGCCAAATCTCTCTTCTCGCGAGATTTCACTTAAAAATAACGCGGGACCGTATGAGAATTGAGTCCGTTGAAACAGAAAACACAAGGCAAGGATCAGAGCACAAATGACGTTCGGGTGAAAGCTGAGATAAACGACACTAATTTCAGCTCAGCACCGCTTGTTTGGACAGCGTCGTTGTGGAAAAAGTCATTTGTTTGACATTTTTGACGTTTAACTGCCCGCAATTGTCTGCTAGCTGAGTTCAGCTAACCAGCTGACTTTGCTCCTCGGTGGCTAAATGGATCCCACGGAGGATTTGTCCGCTCGGGTCCTGCTGAAACATATTCTCACCACCGAGCCACCCAGGACCCCTGTCACACGCAGGTACGGTTCATTTTCTGGGAGAGAACCACGAAAGTCTTATTCACTGGCGTTTTCAGCATTAATGCTAGCTAAGCTATTGCTAACGACAAACTTGTGGTTGTCGCACGTTAGTCTCAGCGGCTTTGTATTCAGTATTATTAATCGTAAGATGACTTGTCTCCAGTAATTCACAGGAGCCGAGTAGCAGCGGGACCCGGCGGAGTAGCAGGCTCAGCAAGAAAGATGCTGGTCCCCAAACCCCGCAGGAGATCCTTAGGCGGAGCATGAGACATAAGCTCCATGAGGTAAAATAGAGGTGAGCAGGGTAGTTGTTATTCGTGGGCATGTTAAACTTATTAACTTTGTCCCTTTTTTCTAGAGCATAACCAGAAAATCCCTCCCCGCCACTAAAAGGAGGACTGCCTCAGTTGTGTTAAAAAAGGCAAACATGCCTGCCACATCTTCAGTACTGATTAATGACGGAGACACTCCCAGACACATACTCATGAACATCCTGCGGACAGGTGCGTGAACTAGCCTTCTTTTAATTCCTGGTTGGTTTCGGTTGGTTTTGCTTTTGCTTATATGTTTTGGTTTTCAGAGCCGGTGAAATCCCCCGTGGTTCATGAGACAGAAACATCTGAAGAGCCGGAGCCACCTTCAGCCAATTCGACCATCTCCAAAACGCATCACAGGTGAGCTGTGGGTTACAGGGTGATTGATGGCATTACTGAATTAGTCCTGGTTGTGATGGAAAATAAACTTTTGAGCTGAATTGACTTTCAGTATGGAGCTGTCAGGGCTGGACCTGCCTGATGTAACAATTGGCCCAGCAGCCAGCACAGCAAAGGGACTGAGCCGAAAGAGACCGCGCAGGAGTTTTAACACAACGGCTTTTGAAAAACGACTTAAAGATGGAGATGGTAAGATTGAAACGAGCATTGAGGAGGTACACAGATTAAAAATGAGGTTGTGGGGGTTGTTTTTTTTTTTTTTGTGCTTCTGCAGCAATGTGAACACTTACCGTGTATGCTGGATGTTTGTTCTTCCAGAAGCTGAAGAGGAAACTGAACTATCAATAGATGACAATTCATCACTGTCTGTGTTGAGGTAAAGTGTATAAAGAATGCAAAATATTAATTCTAATCAGGGATCGAACCCATGACTAGATTTAGAATTAATGATCAGCGTATGAATGCACACCATGTTTGTTTTTTATGTTTTTTTAGTTTATGTCCAATCTGTTTTTCAGCTCTGCTTCCTTGAATTTAAAAACTCCGTTTGTTGACGCTAAGACTGAGAAAAGAGGTCTGCAGAGAAGAGTTTCAAATCGTCGGAAAATCTCAGAGGAAGAATTTGGTGCTGCTGTAGATAAACGACGGATGGGAGGTGAACACTGCGCTCAAAATACTTTATTACATTCTTCTAATGGGACACAGTTTTTTCAAAGATTTCTTTCTGAGGCACAGCAGCCATACAACCATATGGTGTAAAACACAGAAACTTAACCAGAAATGTAATATAATCTCACACACTGTTGTTACCAACTGGTTAATTTGATAATTGATTCATTCATTGCTAAATAATCTCACTATCAGGATTTTTCACCTTGAGAACTGTCACTGTATTTTGACCTGCTATTGAGTCACTTTAAATATCACCTTCTTTCGGTTGCTCACTTTAGGGGTCACCACAGTGAATTTGTCAGTGATTTGCATCCATCTTTATCCTCAATCCCTTTATCCCTCCTCTGCACATGTCCAAACCCCCTCAGCTTTGCCTCTGTAACTTTGAGTCCAGACTTTGACTAAACCTGAGTTATACTCATTTCTAATCTTGTCCTTCAGACTTCTTAACATCTTCGGCCCCAGCTTGGCCTCTGGTCCTTTATTCAGACACTTTGGTCTTCTGCCACAAACCACCCCTGACGCGTATCTCCACAGTCTTCTTCACCTCTCATACATTTTGTAGATGAGTGCATGTGAAAATGTTTCAGTAAGTAAAGCTGTTGCCAGACTGCAAAGAAACAGCTGCTGTGACCATGTCTCAAAAAGAATCGTGCTGAAGGGAGGTTTAAAAAAAAAAAAGTGGAACTAGATTGGATTGTAATTTTGTTTAATGCCAGTTTTTATCACAAGATTGTGTAACAAGGCCATGTAACCTTTGGTTAAGTTGCCGGCACACATCCAACAACTATTCAACCTACCTACAAGTAAGGTGCTGCCCCCTGCTGGTGAAAGTTTTAGTTAAATTCTGCAGAGGTTCAGTGCAAACCTACGACTGAGTATAAATTTAACACTTCAGCCCAGTGATGTGAGAACAGAAGTACAGCATGAAAAGAATTGTAGGTTATTTGCACCTGCTCTTTACCTCCACCTTACATTTTCCTCCTTCCTGTCATCCAGGTATGAGCAGCTTTGGACCTGTGGAGCAGGGGCTTGGTGAATCTACTCACTCTGAGGGCTTCACCTTAGGTCTAAGCAAACTCAGCGAACCAGATATCACAGCCGATATCGTGAACTGTAACACGGCTCTCTACGCCCAGGCTGATGCCATGACCTCCAACTTTTCTATCATTGCTACTCAGGACAAACCTACAGTCATGGCGTCTCAGCTGCAGAAGGACATGAGGGAGATGGAGCCAGAGGAGCAAATGGAAGTGGAGCAGAGCAAGCTGGAAACTGACCAACTGTGTGTGTTTCCAACTGAAGATGAATCTGAAAAGAAGGAAGCAAGGAGAACAGTTTACAGTAAACCTGAAGATGTCTTGGCAAAATCTGACGGAGATGAAGATGTAGTTCAATCTCGGACCGGTGTAAGCGAGGATGCAGCTCAGTTTGAAGACGTTGAGGAAAGAGCAGAAGTTGCTCTCAATTCCGAGCTTGAACAGGGTGTTGAAGCAGGGTCACAGGCTGAAGAGGAAGCTGAAGCAGATTCTAAAACTGAAGAGGAGGAAGATGAGGAAGATGTAGTTGACTCTAACACTGATGGAGGTACAGCCGACTCGCAGATTGAAAAGGGTGATGACGCAGGTTCTCAGTCTGAAGACGAGAATGTGGCTGAGGATCAGACTGAAGAAGAGGAAGAAGACAAGAGAGGCGTAGAAGAATCTCAAACTGGTTCCCAGTCCGAAGAGGGAGCTGAAGCATCTACTCAGTCTGAGGAAGAGGACGTTGTACCAGACTCTCAAACCGAAAAGGATGAAGAGGACAGTGGCACTGAATATCACACTGATGAAG